GCAAAACGAAGTGCCCCACTCTGCCCTTGTGCACGCGGTTGCTTGACTAGAAAATATTAGCCTTTGAAGCTGACTTTTCTTCCCATTCTTCATCACTAGAAAATATTAGCCTTTGAAGCTGACTTTTCTTCCCATTCTTCATCTTCTGCTTCAGCAATGATGAATCCTTCAACCTCAACGATGTTTTTCTTTCTGTTCTTCACCAGTTTCTTCATAGAGCATGTTTCATCCACTGCAACTCAAGTATCTGATGATTATTGCTCTTCATTCTTCCCTGACGTTACTCCCGGCTCTGGATTTGGCAGTTACATGATTGAAAACGAGACTGCTCATGCTGGTTTTTACCTTGGTGGGAATCCAAATCCAAATCCAGATCTAAGCTTAACCAGCGACACAAACGCGTTTTCATTCAGCATCTCTTGGACACGTAAGACTAACAAAGATGATGTATTGATGATCGGAGCAACGATGGTCCCCGGAAGTCCTCTCGTGTCAGGAAGTTATTTTCGGCCAGAAGTTTCAAATTCCTGGTTACAAGGCTTCTGGTCAATATCTTCTGGGAAGCTTTGTGTGGTTGGGACAGTTGCTTTCTTTGTATCAGGTAATCAACACTCTCCTGCTGCTGGTCTTAAAGTTAATAATTTTAAGAATTCGAATAGCATCACTTCCTTGATTACTGGAACTTTAGAGTGCTTGAGCTCTAGTCATGACAGAAACTGTTTTGAACCACTTTCCGTATTGATGATTCCACGGTTGGGTTATGAGTACACCCTTGTGCCGGGGAAGTCTGGAGACTGGTTCTCTAGTGGAAGTGATACCGAGCAAAACTTACCTCTCAATACACTTCCAGAAGGAAGGTTTTGCGAAGTAGTCTCAGGAGTTGAGAATGTCTATTTTTTGAATTATACAAGTACTTGCAGCTCTGCAAAGAATTGCCTTCCTTTTAGTGGGGTGGTTGGTTCTTTACCTGCTTTTGTTTCTTTAAGAAGAATAGAATGCTTGGAGGTAAACAAGACAATCCGTGTTTTGGTCGAATTTCTTAATTATAGCTATGATGGCTTCAGTTCCCGCTTCAGCTCCAGCTGGTTGTTCAATCTCAACATGTCAATGATTGGAGAAGGATTCTGGGATGATAAGAAGAATGTGCTGTATGTTTCTCTTTGCCAGTTTTTGGGCATAACAGAACCCTGGTCTAATGCTCATATTGGGGATTGCACAGCAAGGTTGAGCTTGAGGTTACCTGCAATCCTGTCAATCAAACAGAATAGCAGATTTCTGGGGCAAATTTGGAGCTGCAAAACCTTGACTGATTCAGGTTACTTCGACAGAATAGAGTTTCAAAGCACTGAGGATGTAATTAGAGAGGTCCCTGGTTTGAAGTATGAGTACTCTGAAATCAACAGGGTAAAGAATCTGTGCCCAACGAAGGCAGGTGGAAACAAGGAGGATATATACCCAAGTGGTTATTCTAATTTTATAGATTTTCATATGAAGATTAAAAATTCTAAAGGGGAAAGAGGACGGGGTTTTGCTAGTCCTCTTTCTGTTGGTGATCGGATCTACTGGCAGGGTTTTCCCCTGGTAGCTCTTCCTCCCTTAAGTTCTGCAACTGTAGTGCCATCAAGTCGGGAAAATAGTGGTCCTGTGAATATCAGCTACAAGATAGACATAACAACTGAGACAAGAGTTGTTGGTGG